GCCAAACACCCCAACTAAAGGAGCCGGGGGGGTGTGGGGGGGAACCCACAGCAAAACACACGCAACAACTAATAAATTAAAATAATAAAAAAAAAAAACAAACACCCACCAAAAAACCAACCCAACAAACACCAAAAAAACCCCAGGCAGCATCTCAAAACAGGAGCTCCTGACCATTATTTGAAGCAGAGGGAGCGGGAGGGCTTGGGAAGGCTCTTCCCCGCCTCACCCCCAGCCACAAAGGGCAGAAGAAAGGCTTCGCAGCCCTGACAAAAGCTCCCCGGCTCCGCACGGGAAATTTTGTCCCTTCTCCCCCCCGCATCTCCCTTCCCAGTTTGGTTTAAGTGACCTGGAAGGGGGGAGAAAAGGAAAAAGAAAAAAAAAAAAAAAGAAAAAGCGGGGGCATAGGGTAAATTTTCCAAATCTGATTATTTTTCTCCATCCACCCACCCCTGGGGGCTTGTTGGATTTTTCGATGGACTTTAAGGTGGGACGGGAATTAAAAAAAAATAATAATAAATTCAGAGTTAGATTTTCACAAGAGCCTGAGACCTCGCTATATTTAATTGAGAATACAGGGAGGCGTGAAAGGGAACACGTCCACGCAGACACACACAGACCAGGGTCACACCGCCTGTGCAAGACACATGTTGGGTTGATTTAACATCAAATGCCAGTTCTCCAGCGTAACACATTTCTCATGTAAATTTTTAACACACAAGAAGAAATTTGTAAAAGTAAATCCTACTTCTGGTTTGGGTTAAAAACAACCCAACCTTTTAATACAGAAACTAATAACATTTTTATTGTATGCCCCACAGCTTTACAACGCTTGCGGAAAAGTGAGATCTTAATCCGATGTTAAGTTGGTTCTGAGTGTGGTAAAAGGCAAACCTCTGGGTATCGCGGTCTCCCAGCAAGACCGATGAGGATGGAAGAGCTGCCTGGAGCCGACGAGCGATCCCGGGGAGGAATTCGGACACAAATTCCTCTAGGACTATATTAAGAATAGCAAAAAAATCCCAGCGCAAGTTTTCAAAGCAGGCACTTCCCGACCACTACTCCGAGCAAAGTAGAGTTTGCAGACGCCTGTGAATTATTCCTGCTTTCCCTTACGCACTTTTTTATTTGTATTTTAAAGCGCACAAGAGAGGAGAGAGGGAGAGACAGAGCCCTTCGCTTATTTTTTTTTTTTTAAAGGGGGGAAAAAAAAAAAAAAAGAATCACTCCAAAATGGAAAAAGAAAAACCAATTACACTCCACTTGTTCCCTCCTATACACACCTTCGAAACACGCCTGCCAACTCAAAACAGATTTCCTACCACCAAAAGAAATATTCGGAGCAATCTGCTGCTAACGCAGCACTTTCTGAAGTGCCTTTCTTTTTTAGCGGGAGAGAGGGGGAGAGAGGAGAAGAGACAGAGGCGCGTTTGTTTATCACGCAGACGAGGGAGATGGATCAGGGAAGAATAGAAATATCTGAACTTTGCCAGCGCCCGGGCTGGGAGAGCATCTCGCAACGAAGGCGGACACCGGGGTGGGAACGGGATGAAAGAGGCTGATCCGGGGCTCCCAGCGACCCGCCGCCAGCTTCGTTAAACCATATTTGCCCGGGAATTTCTGAACTCCCAGAAGACGACAGCTCCGTAATAAAAACTCTTTCCAAACACATTATTATTGCCGATATTAGTAGCCGCTGCCGGCAGGGGCCCAGCCAGCCCGCCGAGACCTCCCGCAGGCAGCGGGCATCGTGTCGAGGTTATAAAGACCCCCCTAAACCCCTGGAAAAACACCCCCAACCTCACTCCCCTTCCAAACAAAGACACACCAAAGCCTCTCAAACTTTGCAACCGGGTGAGACGCAGGCACGGGCGAAACGCGGGGCAGGGCTTCGCCGCGCAGCCGGCTGCCGTAACAGCCCCCCCCCACCCCTCCGGACTCCACACCCGCC